ACCTCTGCTGCTGGAGCTCAAGCAATTTTTCCACCTCACCCTCCCAAGCAGCTAGGATTACAGGCAATCACCACCAAACCTGGCTAACTTATGGGGGTGTGTGTCTGTATTTTTGGTAGAGACGGGGTTTCACCATATTGGCCAGGCTGGTCTGAAACTCCTGAGCTCAAGTGATCCCCACACCCTGGCCTTCCAAAGTCCTGGGATTACAGGCGTGAGCTACCATGCCTGGCCTAGAAATAATTTTTTTCTTTTTTCTTTTTTTTTTTTTTGAGACAGAGTCCTGCTCTGTCACCCAGGTTGGGGTGCAGTGATACGATCATAGCTCACTGCAGCCTTAACCTCCCTAACTCAAGTGATCCTCCCACCTTAGCCTCCTTAGGAGGGAAAACCACAGGCACATGCCACCACAACCCACTAATTTTTGTTGTTGTTGTTGTATGGACGGGATCTCCAAAAAAATAGTTTTAAGGGAATACTGTGAACACCTTTATGCCAATAAATTAGATAAATGAAATGGAAAAACTCCTAGAAAGACACAAATTAATAAAACTGATTCAAGAAGAATCAGAAAATCTGAAGAGACCTATAACACGTAGAAAGAAATTAGTAATCAAAAAACAACCCAAAGACAAACCCAGGTCCAGGTGGCTTCACTAGTAAATACTACCTTAATAATTAGTACCAATTATTTATAAACTCTTCCAAAAAATAGAAGAGGACAGAACATACCAAAACGGATTCCATGAGGTTAGCATTACCAAAATCAGATGAAGCCATCAGAAGAAAACAAAACTACAGACCAATATCTCTTATGATTGTAAGCCCCCAAATCATCAACATAATACTAGCAAAGCAAATTCAGCAACATATAGAAAGGATTATATACCATAAGGTTGGGTTAGTATCTAAAAATCACGTATCAATAAAATAAAGGATAAAATCACATGATTGTCTGGGCTCAGTGACTCATGCCCATAATCCCGGCACTTTAGAAGGTTGAGGTGGGAGGATCACTTGAGGTCAGGAGTTCAAGACTAGCCTGGCCCATATGGTGAAACTCCATCTCTACTAAATATACAAAAATTAGGCGGGCATCATGGCAGGTGCCTGTAATTCAAGCTACTCAGGAAGCTGAGGCAGGAGAATCGCTTAAACCAGGGAGGTGGAAGTTGCAGTGAGCCGAGATGGCACCATTGCAGCTCAGCCTGGGCAACAAGAATGAGACTCCATCTCAAAAAATAATAATAATAACATAGATCATCTCAATAGATGTAGAAAAGGCATGTGATAAAATTCAACATTCCTTCATGATAAAAACTCAATAAACTAGGAATAAAGAAGAGCTTCCTCAACCTGATATAGAGCACTTACGAAAAACCGTAATTTAACATTACAACTAATGGTGAAAAACTGAACACTTTTTCCCTACTATCAGGAAATAGATAAGGATACTCACTTTCACTGCTTCTATTCAATACTGTACTGGAGATTCTAGCCAGGGAAATTAGACATGAAAATGAAATAAAATGCATACAAACTATAAAAGAAGAAGTAAACTGTTTCTATTTGCAGATGACATCATTTTGTATATAGACAATCCTAAGAAATCAAGAAAAAAACTACTAAAACTAATAAATGAGTCCAGTAAGTTTTCAGGATAAAATATTAGTATATAAAAATCAATTGCATTTCTATAAACTTGAACAAATCTGAGAATGAAGTTTTCAAAAATTCCATTTACGACTGCTTCAGAGTACAAATGAATAAATTTAACCAAAATGCAATACTTGTAAACTGAAAATTATAAAACATTATTGAAATAAATTTAAAATAACCTAAATAAATGGAAATACATCCCACATTCATGACTGGAAAACCTAATATTTCTAAGGTGGAAATAATCCCCGAATTGATATACAGTCAATGGAATCCCTATCAGTATCCCAGCTGGCTTCTTTGCAGACATTGACAAACTATTTCAAAAGTTCTTATGGAAACTCTAATGAACCAAAATAGTAGTTCTGAAAAAGAAAAACTAAGCTGGAAGATTTACCCTTCCTGGTTTTGAGATTTATTCTAAAGCTAGGCCAGGCGCAATGGCTCACTCCTGTAATCCCAGCACTCTGGGAGGCAAGGTGGGCAATCATGAGATCAGGAGTTTGAGACCAGCCTGGCCAATACAGTGAAACCCTATCTCTACTAAAAATACAAAAATTAGCTGGGCATGGTGGCACACGCCTGTAGTCTCAGCTATTTGGGAGGCTGAGGGAGAAGAATCATTTCAATCCAGGAGGCAGAAGTTGCAGCGAGCCAAGATCGCACCACTGCACTCCAGCCTGGGCAACAGAGCAAGACTCTGTCTCAAAAAAGAAAAAAAGAAATCTATTACAAAGCCATGGTAATCAGGATTGTGTGTTGGCATAATGATAGACATATGAATCAGTGGAATAAAACTGAGAGCCTAAAAGTAAATCCTCACATTACTGTAAGCTGATTTTCAACAAGGGTGCCAAGACAATTCAATGAGGGAAAGAATGGTCTTTTATCAAATGGTGCTAACACAAATGGATATCCATATGCAAAATAATGAAGTTGGTCCCCAACCTCACACTGTCTACAAAAATCAACACAGTATAAACCACAGTGCTAAATATAAGGGCCAAAATTATAAAACTGTTAGAAGAAAACATTGATGTAAGTCTTCATGCCCTTGAGTTAGGCAATGATTTCTTAGACATGACACCAAAAGCACAAGCAACAAAGAAAAAATACATAAACTGAAATTCATCACAATTAAAAATTTTTGCATTTCAAAAAATACAAGAAAGTGAAAGACAATTCTAGAATGGGAGAAAATATTTGCAAATCATACATCTGACAAAGGTCTTGAATCTAGAATATATAAAGAATATTTACAGGCCAGGCATGGTAGCTCATATCTGTAACCCCAACATTTTGGGAAGCCCAGAAAGGAGGATCACTTAAGAACAGGAGTTCAAGACCAGCTGGGCAACATAGTGACATCCTGTTTAAATAAAATATAAAAAATAAAAAATAAAATCTAAAAACAAAACAAAATACAAAAAACAAACAAAAATAAAAACAAAAATTAGCTGGGCATGGTGATTTGCACCTACAGTCCCAGCTACTTCAGAAGCTGAGGTGGGAGGACTGCTTGAGCCCAGGAAGTCAAGGCTCCAATAAGCTATCATCATGTCACTGCACACTCCAGGCTAGGTGACAGAGCGAGACCCTATCTCAAAATAAACAACAAAAAAAACAGAGACAAATGACCCCAATAAAAAGTAGACAAAGGATATGAATAGACATTTCCCCCAAAAAAATATACAAATGGCCAATTATCTCAGGAAAAAATGTCAACATCATTAGCCATCAGGGAAATGCAAATCAAAACAATGATGAGATACCATTTCACACTCACAAAGATGACTACCAATCAAAATGAGAGATAATAACAAGTGTTGGCCAGGATATGGGAAAATGGAACTCTTATACATTGCTGGTAGGATATAAAATGATTCAGCTGCTTTGGTAAATAATGTGAAACTTCCTTAAAAGGGTAAACATACAGTTACCATACTGAAATGGGAAAAGCTCCCTTTTCCCCCTCACAGGACATGCGATAAGGTCGTGGCTTGCTTCTTCAGTGTCTCACTGCTCAAATCTCCAGAGGAACATACAGAGGGGCAGGCTGTGGAGCTCCAACCCCACAGCAGTGTCTAGGGGTGAATGTTTATGGCTCCTGAAGCCCTAGTGGGCATGTGTTACAGGGTGCTCTTTCAGTTTGCTGTCTATAGCTGGCTTGAGACCCCTACCTTGCCACAAGGACAGAGGGCTTTCTGTATCCCCAGGTTTTTTGCCTTGGTATACCAGAAGAATCAGATTACACATGGGGTTGGAAAATGAGTGCAAGATTTCACTGAATGGAAGTAGCTTTCAGCAGATGGGGGAGCCAGAAGGGAGATGATTTTCCCCTGGAGTTGGGCCACTTGGCAGCCCTGGCTCTCCTCCAACTGCCCCGGCCAAACTCCGTGTTGTTCTGCAAGGCCGAGGCACTCCTCTGTATGTCCAGTCACTCCCGTCTCTGCCTTGCTAGGGTCTTGGGTTTTTATAGGCACAAGATGGTGGCGTGGCAAGCCAGGATGCTCTTGAGAAATGCAACATGTGAGCGCAGTGCCTGTCCTCACCTAGGTCCGTAGGGATGGAGCCCTAGCCAGGGATCACACCCTTCCTCTACCCAGCACCTCTCTTCCCTCTTCCTTATCATTTAAAGGTACCACGCTCTTCCCTCCCCAGCACTCCTGTATCCATATGACCCAGCAATTTCACTCCTAGGTATACCCAAGAGGTATTAAAACATTATGTTCACACAAAAACTTATACACAAATATTCACAGATTAATTATTTATCATAGCCTAAAAGTGGAAACAACCCAAATGTCCATCAATAGATGACTAGAAAAACAAAATGTGATATATTCGTCCAATAGAATACTACTTGGCTATAAAAAATTAAGTTTGCACATGCTGTAACATGGATGAACCCTGAAAACATTACACTAAGAAGTCAATTACAAAGGAGCACAAGTTGTATAACCTCGTTCACATGAAATACCCAGAATAAGCAACTCTATAGAGACAGAAAGATTAGTGATTGCCTATAGCTGGTAGGGTTGGTAGGGAACAGCAAGTAACTACTAATGAGCATAGGGCTGCCTTTTGTGATGATAAAAATATTTTAATTAAATGAAATACACAAAAACAATTTTTATAAATAAATAACCAAACAGAATCATACCATCCATCAAAGCCATCTATATTTAGAAAAGGGTATGTGACAGAATCAAAAACATAATTCAAATTGTATACAGACTCTTGAATGTAAATATTTATGAAACATGAATATATTACAGTTTAGAAAAGAGAAAAATTTTAAAACTGCGAATTACACACAATAGTCTTTTGGTAGTACCTACTTTCCAAAATGTCTGCTACAGCTCCAGGATCTACTGCATTTTCAAATACCTGCAGAGGAAAATGGGGAAAATAAATTTGTCTTAATAAGTGCATATGGAAACTGTAAATGCCAGGTGCAGTAGCTCACATCTGTAATCCTAGCACTTTGGGAGGCCAAGGTGGGTGGACTGCTTAAGCTCAGGAATTTGAGACCAGCCTGGGCAACATAGTAAAACCCTCTCTCCACAAAAAATACCAAAGTTAGGTGGGCATGGTGGCTCGTGCCTGTATTCCCAGCTACTCGTGGGGCTGAGGCTGAAGGATCACTTAAGCCCAGGAGACAGAGGTTGCATTGAGCCGAGATCACATCACCACACTCCAGCATGAGAGAAAGAGTGAGACCATGTCTCAAAAAAAAAAAAAAAAAAGGAAACTGTAGATTATTTTCTTCCAAATAATTAACATATGTAAAATCCAGTCACATAAAATTTTAGAATTCAACAGATGCACCTTTAGTAGGTTTCTGACTAAAAGTTCAACAGGTGATGATGGAATAAATGAAGGATAACTAACACAACAATAAGAAGTGCAAGAAAATCTCAATTAGCTAAGTCTACCACATGCTAAAAACGTTACTAACTTGACCTAGCTCTCCTGTTTGTTGCTAAAAGCACATCCTGAATCAACCTCAAAGAGTCTTGTTTGATGACCTAGGAAAACATTCTGTATACAATAGATACTTATTCAATGTTAACTGAATGAATGGTTGATCTTCCAGGCAATTGGTTGTGCTAAAAAGAAACATAAAAAGAAATTTTACCTATTTGTAACACAAAAGCTAGTACTAGCAGCTACACTCCCACAGAGGTTTTAAATGTATCTTGAAGCACAAGAAAAACATTGTAATATCTGTCTAGCCACTGCCAAATCTTTATGTTTTGCTCTTGAAATAAAAGGGCCTGGGATAGGATTGAAATAAAGGTACACCATGTCTTTCCCCCTAAACTCGTAGAACCCTAAGAAAACAAAGTATTTTCAGCAGAGTTTGATTTCAGGATTTAAAGTTCTGATTTAAATGGTGTTTAAACTTAAGAATGAAAATGTCTCACATAATCCAGTTTTGTCCTACTGACTTGAATTTATCAAACAAATGTGGGTAAGTGGGGTTTTCTTTGCCTAACCTATTTTTAATAATCCTTTCGTTTCACCCATTGTTATGGGTTGAATTGTGTCCCCCTCAAAATTCATAGGTTGAATTATTAAAAACCCAGTATCTCAGAATATGACCTTGGTTTGCAAAAAGGGTCACTGCAAATAAAATTACTTAAGTTAGAATGAGGTCATACCAGGATAGGGTGGGCCTCTTATCTGATATGACTGGTGTCCTTATGAAAGGCAAAAATTTGAGCACAGAAACTGTTTTTAAAAAAAGAGTAAAAAAAGAAAAGAAAAAATAGGCAAAATTAAATTTATTTGAGCAAAGAACAATTCATAAACTGGGCAGCACTCAGAACTAAAAGAGGTTCAGAGACGTCACTGCTGCATTGCGGGCAGCAAGCTTTTACAGCCTAACATGAAAATAAGACAAAGAAAATACATTAAATTGGTTGGAGTGGAAAGACCCTAGTTAGAGATTACTTGGCAGTTTCTGATCGTAAAGTCTCTAGTTAAAACCTGGCAGTTTCTTATTGGTAAAATCTCTAGTTAGAGGTTAGTTGATGGTATGTTTGGCTTCAGTTTGCTTACACAGGAACTTACGGCCCTGGAGCTGCTCCAGTCTAATGGCCTCCTGACCCCCAACTTTCCTAACAGCATACACACAGAGTAAATGCCATGTAAATATCGGAATTATGCTGCCACAAGCCAAAAAACTATACCAGAAACTAAGAGGCCTGGAATATGTCCTTCCCTAGTGCCTTTAAAAGGAGTATGGCCCTGCTGACACTCCGATTTCAAGACTTTTAGCCTTCAGAACTGTAAGACAGTATGTTTCTGTTGATTAAGCCATTCACTTTGTGGTACTTTTGCATAGCAGCTCTAGGAAACTAAGATATCCATATCTAAGGATTTTCTCAAGTATGATCTTGGAAAATAAAGGATCAACATGGACTGCTTGAAGAATGGCTTATATATTCTTTTTTTTTTCTTTTTGAGACAGAGTCTTGCATGGTTGCCCAGGTTGGAGAGCAATGGTGCGATCTCAGCTCACTGCAACCTCTACCTCCCAGGTTCACACGATTCTCCTGCCTCAGCCTCCAGAGTAAATGAGACTACAGACACACACCACCACACCTGACTCTATTTTTTTAGTTGAGATGGGGTTTCACTATGTTGGCCAGATTGGTCTCAAACTCCTGTCCTGGTGATCTGCCCGCCTCAGCCTCCCAAAGCGCTGGGATTACAGGTATGAGCCACTGTGCCCAGCCAGCCCATATATTCTTATGAGTAATTTGTTTACCCAAATGCTTCAGAAAATTCCATTTTGAATTAAACAGAAGATATAAGAAAGAGAAAATATTGTCACTAACTGCTGCAAGTAGTTGTAGTTAGAGAAGGGAACAGATATAAGGAAGATATAAGGAAGCTAAAACCAACAGGAAGAAAAGAATATGAACCCAAACAACTCATGCAAGAGGACAATTAATTAATTTTATAAAATGAAAAATGGTTCCACGATTTGTTTGACTAGTAATCTCAAATGTACAGCTTTTCAACAGAACAGCAGTAGTGGCATCAGAAATGTGACTCGGGCTCACTCCTTAACTCTTTAACTAGTTATCTAGTTATCTTTTTGTGTGCTTCTACGATTTTGTATCTTTCGGCTTCTTATAAAAGTATTTTTAAAGGCTTTTACAGACCAGACATGGTGGCTTATGCTGTAATCCCAGCAGTTTGGGAGGCCAAGGTGGGCAGATCATTTGAGGCCAGGAGTTTTTGTTGTTTTGTTTTGAGACAGTCTTGCCCTGTTGCCCAGGGCAGAGTGCAGTGGTGGGATCCCGGCTGACAGCAACCTCCTTCTGCCAGGTTCACACGATTCTCCTGCCTCAGCCTCCTGAGTAGCTGGGATTACAGGCGTGCACCACCACATCTGGCTAATTTTTGTATTTTTAGTAGAGACAGGATTTCATCATGTTGGTCAGGCTGATCTTGAACTCCTGACCTTGTTCCACCCACCTCAGCCTCCCAAAGTGCTGGGATTACATGTGTGAGCCTGCGCCTGGCTGAGACCAGGAGTTTGAGATCAACCTGGCCAACATGGTGAAACCCTGACTCTACTAAAAATACAAAAATTAGCCTGATGTACTGGCAGATGACTGTAATCCCAGCTACTCTGGGGGCTGAGGCTGAAGAATCACTTGAACCTGGGAGGCAGAGGCTGCAGTGACCCAAGGTCTTGCCACTGCACTCCAGCCTGGATGACAGAGCAATACTCTGCCCGCCCCTCTCCAAAAAAACAAGACTTCTACAGAGCAAATTCAAAATTGATGTAACTAATAAGAAAATTATTGGAGTGGAGTTGGGGAAAGACTGAAATTTTACCACCAACTTTTTATTACTTCTAACATCTAAATGGGAGAACTAAGTTCCTTTAGATTCTATGTCCCAATAGCCATTTGTTTCTCTCCTCTTTTATCTAGCCAGTTTGGTACATTCTTCGTTTAAATTAATAGGTTGTGATTTATAAAAATATTACATACAATCTTAGCCTTTCAGAAAATCGATCCTTCTCTCCTCTCTCAACCTCAGGTTGAAACAGATAGGTCACTTTCTGGGCATCACCTTCCAGAGTTTGAAAAGTGACAAGCTCTACTCTGTATCCTTCCTTCTCTCCAGATCTCCCCCAGTGACATTGTTTGGAGCAAAATCATTAGACTTATTAAGGTTAAAACTGATTCCATCTCCAAATTCCAAAACAAAAACGTTAAGAGATTGTCAGTGATGACATAGTAATGGCATCAATATTCTGTGAAATAGCTTAGTGGGAAGAGGGCTGGTAATGTTTTGACTATTTATATCACCACGTTATTTACCAGAATGGAATCTAGCCTTTATCACTGTAGTTAAAAAAAACAGGTATACTCTGAGGAAACAGTAAATCTGAACAGACTTTTTGTTTTGTTACAGGATTTCAATTACAGTATTTAACTAATTTCATTATAGTTTTTTCATTATTTTTCTTGGTTTAATACAGTTTTTTTTCCTCAGGTCCACAGTTTATTAATAATCCTTTTCATAAATGTAATGCAACTACCTCTAACACCTCCAAAAACATTCAGAAATGCTCTCTTTGCTCCAGTTAAAAAATGCCATGGGAGTTCCAAGAATAGGAAGCATCAACCGGGGTATTTAGCACTAGATTGACAGAACTTGGCTCAGACCTGCATTACAAAAGCAAGTCCTGGAACTGTGGGTTTGCTTCAAGGCCACTTGCGGTTTTGCACTGTGCTGAAGTGCTTTCGGATAATTATTTAAAGAAAATTTACAAAATAATGCTGTAAAAACTGTGTTCTTTACAAGAACTATTAGGTTATCTTCAGACAAACAAAACCCAATAAGAAAGTCAAGGTCACCTTTTCAAATCTCATGCTTTGCTGAATCATAATGGGGAACGCAGAAGGAAAGCTGTTTGTCTCCAGGTACTGATTCAGAAGGTAGACCCCGAGGTACACATCTTGCTTGCCAGGCAGGAACACCCCTGGGCAAGAAATCTTAAAAAGAAAGTAAACAACAAACAGAGAGAGAGAGAACAGGCTTTGCTTTCGTTTTGTTTGCTTGCTTTCTCTTAAGCTCCTGCAGACACTGACACTTCCCCCAACACCTCACTCCCTCACCTGTACCTCCCAGCGCCGACATCCACCCCTCTGCGCTCCTCACATCGCAAATTCCGGTTCCCTCCCGCGCCTCCACCAGGTGTCACAGTCGCGCTCTCCCCGGCTCCTCTCCCCGCCCCTCCAGAATGGTAGTGCGGAAGCGGAAGAGGCTGATGGGCCGGGGAGCGTCTGTTTAGTCCGGCCGGGTCCCGGGGTCGTGGCCGTCAGCCGCGATGCCAAGTCCCCGGAGGAGCGTCGAGGGACGGCCGCTGGGCGTCTCCGCTTCGAGCAGCAGCAGCGGCGGCAGCCCTGCCCATGGCGGCGGCGGCAGCAGGTTTGAGTTCCAGTCGCTGCTCAGCAGCCGCGCCACGGGCGTCGACCCCGCCTGCGCCCGGCTCCGTGCGTCGGAGAGCCCGGTGCACCGCCGCAGCTCCTTCCCCCTGGCCGTGGCGGGCCCCTCGCAGGCGCCCCCGCCTCCGCTGCCCGAGGAGGACCGCATGGACTTGAACCCGTCTTTCCTGGGCATCGCTTTGCGCTCCCTGCTGGCCATTGACCTGTGGCTGTCCAAGAAGCTGGGGGTGTGCGCGGGAGAGAGCTCGTCGTGGGGCAGCGTGCGACCACTTATGAAGCTGCTGGAGATTTCTGGACACGGCATCCCCTGGCTGGTGGGCACCCTCTACTGCCTGTGCAGGAGCGACAGCTGGGCCGGGCGCGAGGTGCTGATGAACCTGCTCTTCGCCCTGCTGTTGGACCTGCTGCTGGTGGCCTTGATCAAAGGGCTGGTCCGCAGGCGCCGCCCGGCCCACAACCAGATGGACATGTTTGTCACTCTCTCGGTGGACAAGTACTCCTTCCCGTCGGGCCATGCCACAAGGGCCGCCCTGATGTCGAGGTTCATCCTGAACCACCTGGTGCTGGCCATTCCACTGCGGGTGCTGGTGGTTCTGTGGGCCTTCGTCTTGGGCCTCTCGAGGGTCATGCTGGGGCGGCACAATGTCACCGACGTGGCTTTTGGCTTTTTTCTGGGATACATGCAGTACAGCATCGTGGACTATTGCTGGCTCTCACCCCATAATGCTCCCGTCCTCTTTTTACTGTGGAGTCAACAATGACACCATCTCATTGATTATGGCACCGGGAAGTCCGAAGGTTCGAATGTGGAAACATTCGATGATGCCAACCTAAACCAGCAGCCATCCTGCTTGTCCCTCTTAGGCATTTCAGGCTTCCTTTGGGATTTCAGGTGTCCCATCATCTTGATGTGCTGCTAGGCTGGAGCACACGCTGGCCATTGCTGAACACAGCCATATTAGGGAAAGCAAACAAAACAAAACAAAACAAAAAACCAAAACCCTCTATTGTATATTTATTCAACAACTGTTTATATCTCCAGGACAACTGCAAAGAAGCCAAGCTGAGGTGGCTATACTGTTGCTGTTTTTCAAAAGTTGGTATCAGTAAGATTTGTGTTTTGTGGTAATCCCTAAATCGACAGACCACTTGTAAACTGAACTTTGAGAAAGAAACATCTTCATTCTGTAAATATACATGCAGATAGGCCACATTATAAGCCTAGTCCTTTTCCTGAGATGGATTTTAAAGAGTATTTTTAAAGTCCAAGAGACTTTAAAAATAGGTTTTTCTAATTTATTCCCTGAAGATCTGTTGCCACAGTTGGGAGATTTCTTCTTAATCCTGATTTTCTTGGTAAGCTTTTTTACTTTATTATCTCTTTAATTTATTATCTCTCTCTATCCATATTTGTGGATAGGGTAGTGGGAAAAGTGATTATAATACTTGTCTTTCTCTCCTCTCACTCCACCCTTCAAAAGATCTTGATTTCCCACTACTCCCTGCCTTTTAACATTCAGAGAAAAAGCCAAGAACTTTCTTAAAGAGGAAACACTTAAAAAGCAGGCATATCTAACTTGCTCATAGAAAAGAAAGAATGGGACATGGCCCATTCTTTTTACAACCTAACATGGCATGAGAGAGGGCAGAAAAACTAAGTTGCTGGGGAGAGTCAGAGGAACTGAAAGTTTGGAAATATGCTGACCGCGTTACGCCAGTTACCAGTATGACAGGAGATGGAGCCCTGCTGCCAGTCATCTCCACTGAATAAAGAATAATGTTCCTCTAGCAGGGTAATAAAATGGGGAACGAATGTCTTCTCAATGCAAAAACGTAAGTTTTCTCATATATACCTGTATGCTACAGTTTTTCACATGGAATTCCATTTTCTGAGATACAGCACATTTTAGGTTACAGTATTTAACTTGAAATTCATCAGGGGAGTCTGCTGCTATACCAGGCACAAAGTATAACTCCTAAATTTCTGTTTACATTGACCTTTACATTTAAAGCTATTCATCCATGGTGCCTCCCAAAATCATAAGACCAAAGACCACCAAACACAGGGTGGGCTCTGCTCATTATTCTTTGACCCAGAAAGACTGGAGAAGGTATGTGCTTTAAGTGCTGCTCTGCCTGAAAAGAAATCCTTTAAATTACCTATGGAAGTGTTGTCCTTAGATCATCTTCATGACTATCTTGGCATTTATAAATAGAAATGATTGTGGGCTTTTATCTACCATACTGAGGTGACGATAAGAACCTAGAGAATGGCTGTGATAAGTATGTTTTGATTGAGTGAAACCGTGAACTTTTTGAGAATGAGGGGCACACTGAAAAAGAAACAGCTATGCCTCAAAATCAAATGATTTGCATTCCCACAACACCCTTAACACCAACTACCTCTTGACTTGCTAAAGCAGCTAAACTGTGAAGTTCTAAGTGGTTTGGGTTTGTTGTTTAACCTTAGGGCAATTCAGGCCAGATATTTGGAAGCAAATGATATTTCCTCTTGCAGTGTCCACAAATCTGAATATTAGGGGCATGAAATTAAGCTTACCATTTGGTTCGAAATTACACTTTTGGAATTCCCTGTTTTAGTTGCTGGGGCCTGAGTTTTCTGGCGTTTAAAGCATAAATCAGTTTCACCTGATGTTTTTGAAGCATCCTAAGTACTGTGGAGTAGAAAACGATTTCTTTGTTAATTAATTGTACACTGAGGAATGTCTTTTAAAAATCAAAATAAAATTAACCAATAATGTTGAACAAAGTGAGATGAAAACTTGCTTCATTTTTGCCTTGATGAAGAAGGAGACTGCTTTATCACTTAGCTTCTCAAGAGTTCCTTCATCTTCCTGCACAATTTTGAGAGCTTAAAACTGGTATTGCATGACTAATATGGTCTAGCCTTATTTGCTGTTAGCAAAGTGGAACAAATCCAGGAAGTTTTGATCACCTTTGTTTCACAGCCGCATGTATGATGAAACATCCGTTGGCATTTGCCAATTGGATGGAGGCTAGCCAGATTCCATGACAATTTTCTGTTAGCATTGTGCTTGTAATCACAGCCAGTGCATGACATTCTGTCAGTAACTACATGGAAGGATTGTAACATGGAAACTGAAATAAGAGGGAATAACAGACCCCCAAGTAGGAACTATGGAGTCACTCTTCCTTCCACAGCACCTCACTTAGGAAAGACTTGGTGGTTAATTACAAAATATTTGTTGATCGATTGAATCCCCTTTTGGAATTAGCAAGCCAGAGCCATCACTAAGGGGAAAATAACATAGAAAATATCTGATTGGTTCATAGAGTTGGCAAATAATCAGGAAGCGATGAAGCTGTTTAAAATTATTCCCTGGTTACTTAAGTTTAAAATCCTTTCGCAAATCTTTATCCAGGAGAAGAAAATAAAATTCTACCTGGACTTAATGCAGGGTTGCTTCAAAAGAACAAAAAATTCGTGATAAAGGTAAGAAACATGTTAGCTTTAGAACAGGAAAAAAAAAAAAAAAAGGTGGAGCTGAATTAAAGGGCAGGAAGTCTGGGAAGACCAATATGGAGAATCTTTTGGACAAAGGTACGATTTGTCCCAGAAAATAATGTGTTTGTGGTCAGTGGGGAAGATGGGGGAGTATTGTTGAAAACCACCTGAGAACGTTTAAGAGTCCGACTTGAGGTTAGGGAGGGGAGTTCACTGATCTCTTACCGCCCGGATCTGCAGCTCCACCACGACCTCCAGAGGCATCGTTCCCTGCGTGGGCGAAAGGAAGGGTGTGAAAAGATCCTTTCGTGCCGAGCCTTGGACCAATTTTTCTTAGTTTAGCTCAATCCCTAGAGCAAACGTTCCCAGAAGCTCCCCCAGCCCCCCTCCCTCTTGTTCCCCCATCCGTCCCCCACGAGCCCGGGTCCCTCCCACTGGGACGGGTCTCTCACACCCGAAGCTGGCGTGCAGGCTTCCAGAAGGCGGAAGCATGGCGTTGCCAAGGACACTCAAACGCGCAGTCTTCCATCGTGGAACGCGCGCGAGGCCCCAGCACAGGCGCGCGCACTCGCGGTGCGCCACCTAGAGGCGCCGGTGCGGTCGCCCACGCAGTGCCCTAACCAGAGAGACTGGCCCTGTCTGGCGTGGAGGCGGATCGAGAAATGCTAGCAATACCAGATTTCTTTCCATCAGCTCCTGTTATCCCCAATTACCATGTTAAAATGTTTACCGTTTCCCTTCTAAAAGTAGAATGAGATCACAGCTCTGTTATAATTTAAATAGTACACGTTTAGTAGCTGCACGACTCCCAAGCCTTGGAATTTCTGGAACAATTCTTATTTAATATAGTTGCCTGTTCTAAAAGTAGTCTTTTGCTTATTAAATGTTAGGTCCTGATATTTGCTTTGGAAAACATGGGCATAATAATAAACGTGTGCTAATTAGAAATACAAGGCTAATTCTTTTTTTTTTTTTTTTTTTTTTTTTGAGACGGAGTTTCACTCTTGTTACCCAGGCTGGAGTGCAATGGCGCCATCTCGGCTCACTGCAACCTCCGCCTCCTGGGTTCAGGCAATTCTCCTGCCTCAACCTCCTGAGTAGCTGGGATTACAGGCATGCGCCACCATGCCCAGCTAATGTTTTGTATTTTTAGTAGAGACGGGGTTTCACCATGTTGACCAGGATGGTCTCGATCTCTTGACCTTGGGATCCACCCGCCTCGGCCTCCCAAAGTGCTGGGATTACAGGCTTGAGCCACCGCACCCGGCCAGGGCTAATTCTTAAACAGATTTAAAAGTTAGGTATTCCGGGTTAGCAACAATAGAAGTATGTCATTCTCTCCATAAAGGTGTCCAGCCTCTTCTGGGGTTTTGTTGAAGGCAAGGATTAAGTAGCCCAATGCGTTGTTACTGTATTTGCCAAAACTACAGTTACACTGTAAAAACCGTCAGAGGTGATGGACATAGCAAGAGTTCTGAATGAATAGGGGACATTCACTATGTCTAATAGACAATAATGAAGGAAAGGAGAAGGTAGTGGCTCCTTATAGCAATCCAAAAAATCTAGTAAGGCCAATGCTGTCTCTGAAAAAAAATTTAAAATCCTAAATTGTGTTGTCATTTATTACTAGTATTTTGCCTTAGAGAGTTATACAATTGGAAATAGTGCAGAAAGATGGTCAAGACAAGATTAGGAATTCATTACCCTGGAAGGGAAAGACTTAGTACAATGAAGAAGGGCATTCTGTATCCTTATCCAGTTCCTAGTGCTGTGTGTCTCTGCATACCAAGAGATACAGGTGGAAACCTAGGTACCTATAGTGTCCAGATCACTGACTTGTCACTCACAACTTGCTGACACCCAGAATGATGTGGGACAGGGCCTGTGATGATCCTAATTTATCACTGAGGCTGTCTACCTCTGTAGGTCACCAGCACCAATGCTAAGAAATCAAAGAGAGTGACGAGCAAAAGTAATAAACAGCCGGAGATCTATTGGGAGAGAAGAATCAGTCTTTTTTATTTTTTGAGACAGTCTCAATCTGTCACCCAGGCTGGAATGCAGTGACACAATCTCAGCTCACTGCAACCTCTGCTTCCCAGGATCAAGCAATTCTCCTACCTCAGCGTCCCCAAGTAGCTGTGATTACAGGCACACGCCATCATGCCCAGCTAACTTTTGTATTTTTAGTAGAGACGGGGTTTCACCATGCTGACCAGGCTGGTCTTGAACTCCTGACCTCATGATCCACATGCCTCAGCCTCCCAAAGTGCTGGGATTACAGATGTGAGCCATCGTGCCTGGCCATGAATCAGTCTTTATTGAGGATCTGCAAAGTGCTAGGCACATTGCATATGCTAATTCATTTCATCCCCACAATAACTCTCAGGGAGATATTACCCTATTTTACAGATGCAGAATCTGAAGCTAAACAGTCTTGTACTAAAAGCCACAGACCTAATAAGGGAGCAGCCACATTTGAATCCAGTCGTGCCCTACCACATCACTGGGTCTGCAACATAGACATCTTGTTGATCTCTAGAGACACAATGTTCCATCCTACGCCCTTCCTAGTCTTAACTCTTGATCTAAGTGGACTCTCCTTGCTTAGCTACTAGGGCACAGCTCTCTTCTGGTTTCCCTCCAACTTTCTGGTCATTTTTTCTCTGTTTATCCTCCTCTGTCTAGCTAAGCAATGTTTCTAGGTCCTTTCCTCACTCTACCCTTTACTTACAATGTCATCCATTGAAACTTAGAGTGTCCGGTTTTGATGAACACATGTACACAGATTTACATACCACACCAAGATCTCTCTTCTGCTGCCCCTGACAAGGTGGAATCTCAATATCATATCTTATACATATAAATATATGTGTCTCCTCTTTGTAGCAACTGCCATAATAGCAGTTTTACATTTGTTCCTGTGACTGTTGATTACTATTTTTCTCCATTATCTGTAAATTCTGCATGGCTAAGTGTCTATACCCTAAATAGGATAGAAGATACTCAACAAATATTTTTGAATATTAAATGCAGAGATGGTCAAACCAACCTGTAAGGGTTAACGTACATGGGTAAAGAGAGGTCCCATCACATGGGGTAAAAGAAATCTGTGGAATTAGAAAGGACCAGGCACAGCTACTTCTGCTAGTCTGCTATGGTGATATTAAATGAGTTGATAAGGATACTTCACACTCTGTTAATTGTCCCCACCCACCATGGTCACCTGAGGCTCTCAGCTGCCTCAGAAATGTGGAAGTTGCTACTTACATGATGCCTCTCACTCATCTTGCATAAGTAATTTATCATTGAGGCTGTCTACCTCTGCAGGGAGCCAACAAAGCCTTTTAAGGATTGAACTGTCACCACTTCAAAAGAAAGGCTTTATTACCTGGGTAGCTACCTCTTAGTGACAGCAAACATTTCAATGAACAACCTCTATTTCCAGAGAGTGTCTGCAATGCAGCTTGGCCAGCAATAACATCAGCATTGCAGAAATGATACAGCAGCACATCCTGTTCACATTCTGGCCCCAGACAAGAAAAAGACACACGCCCCAAATGGGGATTTTCCAAAGAGTAAATTAAAAAAGAACAAGAATATGACAGATAATTATGGCTCAGATTTTTCTTTTAACTAAAAAAATTAATTGTTAAGACCAAAAAATCGTAAATATTTCAAATAATAGGCGTATTCATAGGAAAGGAAGAAACTATTAAAAAAGAGCACGAGCCGGGCGCGGTGGCTCAAGCCTGTAATCCCAGCACTTTGGGAGGCCGAGGCGGGTGAATCACGAGGTCAAGGGATCGAGACCATCCTGGTCAACATGGTGAAACCCCATCTCTACTAAAAATACAAAAAATTAGCTGGGCATGGTGGTGCGTGCCTGTAATCCCAGCTACTCAGGAGGCTGAGGCAGGAGAATTGCCTGAACCCAGGAGGCGGAGGTTGCGGTGAGCCGAGATCGTGCCATTGCACTCGAGCCTGGGTAACAAAAGCAAAACTCTGTCTCAAAAAAAAAAGAGCACGAATAGGAAGGGTATGGGAGTGTAAATACATACACTGTATTCGTTTTCTATGGCTACTTAACAAATTACCACAAATTTAGGGGCTTAAAGCAAGACAAATTTATTATCATATAATTTCATGAGAAGTCCAACACAGATCTCGCTGGGTTAAAATCAAGATGCCAGCCGGGCGCGGTGGCTCAAGCCTGTAATCCCAGCACTTTGGGAGGCCGAGGCGGGTGGATCACGAGGTCAAGAGATCGAGACCATCCTGGTCAACATGGTGAAACCCCGTCTCTACTAAAAATACAAAAAACTAGCTGGACATGGTGGCGCGTGCCTGTAATCCCAGCTACTTAGGAGGCTGAGGCAGGAGAATTGCCTGAGCCCAGGAGGCGGAGGTTGCGGTGAGCCGAGATCGCGCCATTGCACTCCAGCCTGGGTAACAAGAGCGAAACTCCGTCTCAAAAAAAAAAAAAAAAAAAAAAAAAATCAAGATGCCAGCAGGGCTACATTCCTTGCCTTTTTTGTTTTTTTGCTGTTCTAGAGGTTGCTCTTATTTCTTGGTTTAAAGTTCCCTTCTTTCATGTTCTAAAGTGGCTACATAGAGCCAAGTCTTCTCATGCTGCCATCTCTCTGGTTCTGTTTCCTTTTTTTTTTAGACGGAGTCTCACTCTGTCGCCCAGGTTGGAATGCAGTGGGCGATCTCGGCTCACTGCAACCTCCACCTCCTGGGTTCAAGCGATTCTTTTGCCTCAGCCTCCCAAGTATGTGGGACTACAGGTGTGTGCCACTATGCATGGCTAATTTTTGTAACTTTAGTAGAGACAGGGTTTTAACATATTGGCCTGGCGGATCTCAAACTCCTGACCTCATGATCCACCTGCCTACGTCTCCCAAAGAGTGGAGATTACAGGCGTGAGCCACCATGCCCGGCCTCCATTTCACTTTTAAGGGCCTTTGTGATTGCATTGGGAACACCCAGATAATCCAGTATAATTTCTCTAATTTAAGGTCAGCTGATTAGCAACCTTAATTCCATCTACAACCTTAATTTCCCCTTTACCATGTAAGGTAACACATGCACAGATGCCAGGGATTAGGATGTGAACATCTTTGGGGGCCATTATTTTGCCGACTACATGTAACTTCTCTGAAGAGCAATTTGATAATGTCTATCAAAATGTTTAATTTGACTCAGCAATTCTACTGTAATAGTTTAGTTTTATCATACTCTGATATACAGAGAAGAAAGCTTTACCTTTCTCACTTCGGTGTGTATGAGAAAGCCCAATGAACTATACTGAGTTATTTCCTTGGTTCTAACAAATAGCATAAAGATGAAGTATAGCAGGGCACAGTGGCTCACACCTGTAATCCCAGCACTTTGGAACACTGAGGTGAGTAGATCACCTGAGGTCAATAGTTTAAGACCAACCTAACAAACATGGTGAAACACTGTCTCTACTAAAAATACAAAAATTAGCTGGATATGGTAATTCCAGCTACCTGGGAGGCTGAGGAAGGAGAATCACTTAAACCTGGGAGATGGAGGTTGCAGTGAGCCGAGATCATGCAACGGCACTCCACCCTGGGCAACAATGCAAGACTTAGTCTCAAAAAAAAGATGAAGTGTGTGTGCATATATACTATACACATACATACATATATACACACATAATTTATATAATATATATTAATGTTAAAATAATATCATTTAGGCAAACTTTACACTAGAGGAATCTGGCTGTCACCATATGAACTCACTGATCAATTCCAGCCCCACTCTACATTATTATAGTTAACATTATATACTTCCCTATGTGATTCATAGGAAGTACCTATGAAGCACATTTACCCAGAAAGTTGTAGTTCAATCTAATCAACTACACTGAGAGTTGCACTGTCCAGTAATAACAATATGGTGGCCATTTATAGCTATTTAACTGAACTAAAACTAAATACATTTATTTATTTATTTGCAATGGAGTCTCACTCTTGTCACCCAGGCTGGAGCACAGTGGCATAATCTTGGCTCACTGCAACCTCTGCCTCCTGGGTTCAAGTTATTCTCCTGCCTCAGCCTCCCAAGTAGCTGGGTTTACAGGCACCTGCCACCATGCCCAGCTAATTTTTTGTGTTTTTAGTAGAGACAAGGTTTTGCCATGTTGGCCAGGCTGGTCTCGAACTTCTCACCTCAGGTGATCCACCTGCCTCAGCCTCCCAAAGTGCTTATAGGCGTGAGCCACCATGCCCAGCCAACTAAATACATTTAAAATACAGTTCCTCACTTGCATTAGTCACATTTAGAGCACACATGGCCACATGTTGTCAGTAGCTACTGGTATTAGATAGTGCAGGAAGAATATTTCCATTATCATAGAAAGTTCTAATGGGCAGCATTGCTCTAGAGTTAATTTCATTTAAAGGAAATATGGAGGATAGAGAACCATGTTAATGACAACACATGGAAGCAGGCAGGCATATCTAATAGCATGCGGGACATTCCAGCACATACGTGCAATCCCAGCTGCCTGAGAGGCTGATGTGGGAGGATCACCCAAGCCTGAGTGGGCAAGGCTGCAGTGAGCCATGATTGTGCCACGCACTCCAGTCTGACCCACAGAGTGAGACCCTGTCTCAATAAATAAGCAAATACATAAATAAATAGAATCTGGGACATTCTAATGGACAACTAACCCAGTTATTCTGCCGTAAATCAATTGCATTAAAAAAAAAAAAAAAAGGAAGAGGTGAGGGAACAGATCTAGATTAAAAGATACTTAAGAGACCTCACAACCAAATGGAATATGTGGACTTCGTTGGTATATTAATTCAAACAAAGCAAATGTAATATTTGAGACTATCAGGGAAATTTGATTATGGTTTGGGCATTAGAGAACAACAAGCAATTAATTTTGATACATATGATAATGCCCTTGTAGTTATGTAAGGCAAATATTAACATTGTTTAGAGATATATATTAAGGTATGTAGTGGTAAAATGATTTAACGTCTAAGATTTTGCTTTTAAGTCTTCCAATCAATGAATAAAAGGAATAGACAAAACAAATGCTATAAAATCTTGATAATTATTGACTCTGGTGATGAATGAATGGTGTTCCGGTAATTCTATTCGTTTGTGTGTTCAAAAACTTCACAATAGGCATGGTGGCTGACACCTATAATCCCAGTGCTTTGTGAGGCAGAGGCCAGAGGATTGCTTAAGATCAGGAGTTCAAGACCAGCCTGGGCAACCTAGTGAGACTCCATTTCTACATTTAAAAAAAAAAAAAAATTAGCTGGGCATAGCTCAGGAGACTGAGGATGGGGATCCCTCAAGCCAAGATGCTGAAGGCTGCAGTGATCTTGCCACTGCACTCCGGCCTGGGTGACAAAGCACAATCCTGTCTCTTAAAAAAATCATAATAACAATGTTTAAAAATCTTTAACATATACAATTCCCTTCAGTATGAGTCTTACACATACTGAAAGAGAAAATACAGTCGATCTATTCACCTCAAATGCAGATAGGATGAGAAAATTATTGTGGTATGTAAAAATACCTTACAAGTAATTCAGAGGGACATCCATTTAAAGGGAAAAAAGTAGCTCTGTATTATAATAGTGATCTCTGCATGAATATCCAAAACAGGAGCTGGCAATTTGAGTATTTCTTTATATATACACACTTCTCAAGAATTTTCCAGGAATCTTCCAAGGACGGAATCAAATTGCAATTGCACAGTTTTTAACAATCTTGAAGTCATTTGGGATCTGGACTCACACATGGGTTCTGTTTCACAAAACTTTATTAGAGTTCATGAGTCAGACTCATATGTTACTCTTTGGCTTGCACTTTGATTTACTGGCATTTGTAGGCTCAATGCTTACATAATGATGCCACACAAGGCCTTCCATAGAGCTGCCCTTGGGGATTTTGGACTACATAGTCTTTCCATTTAAAAGTAATTTCTACTCAGAAAAAAATCAATTTTCTCCTTTGAGTTTCAGCTGGCTAGCTCTATGTCCATGGAAGTAGTAGGCAAATTATGACCCAAAGCAATTTCCAAGGAATTTTATTTATTATCCAAAATAAGAAAGTACAAGAGTATGATTACATTCCAAGACTTGCTTAAAAAGTGTCTACTGGAGCTGTGCCTAGTGGTGCATGCCTGTAATCTCAACCACTTGAGAGGCCAAGGCAAGAGGATCTCTTGAGCCCAGGAGTTTGGGGCCAACCTAGGCAACATAGCAAGAACTGTTTCAAAAAAAAAATAAAAAGTGTTTACTATGCCAGAGCACAGGATTCTGACCCTGAAGTCAGCAATAGCTCAAGATGAGGCTACTTCTGATGTCATTATATCCACCCCTTATCTCCTACCAAAATATACTTCTTTCTGTTCTCTTTTCACCATCTTCTGCCTTTATTTAACCTTTTCTTTTATCCTTGTTTCCACTGATTCACTCTCTATCCATTTATTCAGCACACATTTACTAAGTGTCTACTGTAAGCCAGGTACTATTCTGAGCCATGTATGTACAAGGGTGACTAAGAAACAATCTGTCCGCCCATAGAGCTTACATTCTACTGGGGGAAGAAACATAATAACTAAGTGAACATAAAATAATAGTATGATGAATAGTAGAAAGGAAATATACAAGGTGGTGAGATAGAAGGTTACAGATCAGAGAATAAATGAGAACCTCATCTAGACTCATTGGCCAGAATGGCCTAAGGGTATGAGATTTGATCTAAGATCTACAAAGAGAAGCATGACCACTAGCAAGCCTTACAAAATAAGAAAAAAGATATTCAAGCAAAGGGAACAGCAACTCCAAAGGGCCATGAGTCAGGAAAGGAACTGGTATGTTTGAGGAATGGAAATAAGGCCAAGAGAGATATCGGGGTAGGAGAGGGCAAGGAAGGTGTTAAGGAAAGGGTTTAAGAAAAGACACTCAGGCCGGGCGCGGTGGCTCACGCCTATAATCCCAGCACTTTGGGAGGCCAAGGTGGGTGGGTCACAAGATCAAGAGATCGAGACCATCCTGGTCAACATGGTGAAACCCCGTCTCTACTAAAAATACAAAAATTAGATGGGCATGGTGGTGCATGCCTGTAGTCCCAGCTACTCGGGAGGCTAAGGCAGGAGAATTGCTTGAACCCAGGAGGCAGAGGTTACGGTGAGCCGAGATTGCGCCATTGCACTCCAGCCTGGGTAACAAGAGCAAAACTCTGTCTCAAAAAAAGAAAAAAAAAGAAAAGAAAAGAAATGACACTCAGGGCTGGGCACAGTGGCGCATGCCTGTAATCCCGGTACTTTGGGAGGCTGAGGTGGACAGATCATCTGAGGTCAGGAGTTCAAGATGAGCCTGGCCAACAGGGTGAAACCTGGTCTCTACTAAAAATACAAAAATGAGCTGGGCATGGTGGCACGTACCTGTAATCCCAGCTATTCAGGAGGCTGAGGTAGGAGAATTGCTTAAACCCAGGAGGCAGAGGTTGCAGTGAGCTGAGATAGTGCCACTGACTCCATCCTAGGAGTCAGAGTGAGACTTCATCTAAAAAAAAAAGAAAAGAAAAGAAATTACATTCTGACATTCAGGAGTTAGGCTGCCACTAGGTTGCACAGGAGCTTTATCAGTTATGGCAGAGAATGTGATTGCCTACCTTACACCATAAACTCTTCCTCCTTGCTAACAGAACTCCAGTTTTGTTTAGGTAGAAATGCATCCAGCTCCAGAGAATGAATAATTATTTATTTAAGCCAGTTCTTGCCAGTAATATATAAGGACTTCACTAGAAGCTTTTGAGAAACATCTTTATTCTTCATGAGAGCCACAAGTGAATAAAGCTGTTTTGCCTCCTCCTCTCTTCCTGCTTTAGCTTCCGCCATGCTTTGATGTGATGTCCACAGCTGTAGCAGCCATCCTGCAACCATGATGTAACAAGCCTGAAGATGGAAGTCAACAGAATTAGGATGCTAGAGAGGAGGGCTAGGGATTAGAAGAACCTGAATCTTTTTTTTTTTTTTTTTTGTTTGAGACACAGTCTCGCTCTGTTGCCCAGAATGGAGTGCAGTGGTGAGATCTCAGCTCACTGCAACCTCCACCTCCCAGAATTACAGGCACACAACATCAGACCTGGCTAATTTAAGTATTTTTAGTAGAGACGGTGCTTTGCCTTGTTGGCCAGGCTAGTCTTGAACTCCTGGCCTCAAGTGATCCACCTGCCTTAGCCTCACAAAATGCTGGGATTACAGGTGTAAGCCACCACACCTGGCCTGAAACTGAATCTTTAATGACATCTTCGAACTGCTAAGCCTATCCTGGGATAATTCTTTTCATTAAATAGACAATAAATGTCCTTATAGTTTAGGTTTCTTTTAGCTGGGTTTTTAGTTATTTGCATTGAAAGCATATAATGGATACAGCAGGGGTGAGACATGATATGATTTGTGTATTTTTTAAAAATGTCTCTGGCAAGAGTATGAAGAGATTGTAAGGAGCAAGAGTGGAACAGAAGCAAGGAAGACTACTATAGTAGTTCTTAGAAGCAGTAATAGTGTTCTGGCCTAGGGAGGATGCAGTAAAGCTTGAGAGAAGTACACAGATTCAAGGTGTATTTGGGAGTAAAAACAGCAGGACTTGCTGTTGGTATGAGAGGTAAAGGAGAGGGAGGAACTAAGGCTGAACTCTAGGTTTTGGACTGGATGGTGATGCCACTGATTGACACAGAGAAGACAGAAGTTTGGGGAAGGGGTTGAGATCAAGGGTTTGGATGTGTTATATTTAAGATGTGTATGAACCATTCAAAAAAAGATGTCAAATTAGCAGGTACACATGAGTCTGGAGCACAGGGGTAAGGTCAGGACTTGGATTTCAAATTGGGAACTATAGATACACAGATGTTATTTAAGGTCACAGGAATAGACAGGGTTCTCCCCACGGCCAAAATATGAGGAACTCTACAATTAGAGATCAGCTAGAAGGGATGAAGACTAAGAAGAAGTAGTGAAAGAGGTATGAGAAAAAACAACGGCATCAGCGTTTCTTTAGAGCTTACTTTACACTAGGCACTATTCAAAGCACTTTATGGAAGCAAAAAAAAAAAAGTTTTCCTTTTTTTCTCCCTTTCCAGTCTCTCCTGTGACTTTCACCCCTAAATTCAAAAGGGTTAGGTGCAAAAGAGATTCTGAGCTTTTATTTTTAATTAATTAATTTTATGGTAATCTGGTACTGTTATAATTATTATTGTATACTTTAATTGGAAAAATATTCAAACAGCACAGTACAGAGAAGCTAAATGTGAAATGGAAAGATCCTCAGAAGCTTTCCTTCCCAGGCTCACCTACCAGAGGTAATCATTCATTAAGTTTCCTGTATACCCTCCAGGAATGTTACACACACACACACACACACACACACACTCTCTCTCTCTCTCTCTCTCTCTCTCTCTCTCTCTCTCTGCAGGCAAACAAATACGATCTCTCTTCTCCTCTCTCTGTATACGTACGCACATCTGTTTAATTCTGCAAGTTGCTTTTTAAAAATTCAATACCTTCAGGAGGTATTTCTGTATCAGCATATTTTGCTACAATTTACTTTTTAAAAAATAGATAATTTCCCATTGTATTAAGATTCATAATTTAAGTTTCTCTATTGATGGACAACTAGAATGCTTTTTTTACTTCCCCCCCACACACACACACACATACACAATTGCTGCCAAAAATCTTTGTAGATAAATCTTTGGATATTGGTGCAAAAATAACTGTTGCATACTTCATTGGTGGTGAAACTGCTGAATCAATCCACTCAAGCCTTTCACATTGTCAAATTACTCCTCCCAAAAGGTTACACGAATGACATTCTTACATCATTTCCTTATGTCTTGGTTTACCTTTGGTATTAAGCGACTTCACAAATTTGCCAATCTAAATACATGGCAAAAAATGGCGTCATGTTGTTTTTATTTGGGTCTCTATGAGTAGGGCAGCAAGGCTTGATTACCTGATTGTTAAAAGTGCAAGTTTTTAAGTAAAACTCCCTGGGCTGGATCCTACCTCTTCCTCGTAAAATGTATGATATCGGGCATGGTGGGTCTATTTCCTCGTCTCAAAAAAAGGGGATAAAGAGAGCACATATCTTTAGGCTTAAACAAGATACGTAGGAATACAGGAAGCCCTTCTTATACGTTCGCTATGATCCTAATTTTTTGAACCCGTGCTCGCTCCGGTACTTTATTTTTGGTGTACTCCTTCAACCAACCAAGTTTCTCAGAATTCTGTTGTTGCTTGTAATTAGAAATCAGAGGAAAATTGGCTCCGCTTATTCAAAATTTTCCTCCTCCCGCCCCAGCTCTGCCTTAGAATCACTGGTTTCAATGTCAATGTAAAGGAATGAGACGCAATTTTCAAGCAACATGCAGAGTGCACACCTGGTCTGAGTACCTCCGGGCGGCCAGGACCCGCCGTTTCCGGCGTAGGGAAGGAACACCACACAGCAATATCTAACACTACCTAACAAACGTTTCTCCACCCACAGCGCCATCAGCGGTTAAAGCTCCAGTGCCGAAATGCTCCAAAGAACGGTGCTTAAAACAGGAATACAATTGCAGATCCAGTCCCAGGTCCAGGGACGCGCCTCCACAGCTCCGCCCCTACAGGAAGTGACGCACCATGTCGACTATTTCTTCCGCCGTCCGCCGGTGGCCAGGCCCAGGCTATCGCGGGGTGTGCATTGCCGTCGCGGCCAGTAGAGGGATTCTGGGTAACTGCCCCGGCCGGCTGGGTCTTCTGGCTCGGCGCAGCAGGTTCCGCTCACGCCAAGTCAGTTGGCAGTGGCAGTTGTAGGGCCGGGGGCGGTTGTAGGACCCGGGGCAGCCGGACATGGAGCAACCGTGGCCGCCTCCGGGACCCTGGAGCCTCCCTCGGGCCGAGGGTGAGGCTGAGGAAGAGAGTGACTTGGATGTGTCCCCCAGTTCTCCCCGCTGCCCGCAGCTGCCGGGCGGCGGCGCCCAGGTGAGAGGGGGCCGCGTTCTGCGGAGGGATGGAGTGGTGCTTTCGCCAATCCCCTGGAGTCCCGCGTCTCCCGGACCTTGTACGTCTTTTTTGCGCCCACCTCGCTGCTGGGGGCCGGGGGCCGGGGGCCGGGGACCTGATACCTGATGCCTGATGCCATCCCACCCCTTTTATAGCATCTTCGGAGGGGTAACGGGGTGGCCATATATTACCAACCTCCACCTCTACGCACACCTTTATTTTCACCTTGGCTAATTGCTTCTCACGCTTGGAAGACGTTCCTCCATCTCCCCTTCCTGTCAGCACCCAGATTGGGGGCGGCCAGTGCCGTAACATTGACCCTTTGTCCTCTTGTGAGAGGTTTTCCCCGAGCACTTTATTCTGTTAAAGGCTTTAGCATAGTTGTGCACAGTTGATAGGCACAGTGAATGATTGCCGTTCAACATCACACTGAGTCCTGGCAAAGATTTCACATCCTATTTCACCCAGATCGATAAGTGATTATAAATTCTTTAAACCTCGCTTTTGACGCTGGCGTACACCTCTCCCATTCGCCTATTTTTGCCTTACTGTTTTGTTCTTTTGGTTTTGCTTCACATCCTTCTCCAGTGAAAATATATACGAAAATACTTGCCTTTTCCTTCAGACTTCTCTTAGGTTCCTGATACTGTGTTTTCAATCCAGCTTTCCTGCCTTCTTGCATTTGAAACGTATCCAAATGTGATACACTATTAAGCCTTTTTTCAGGGACCTATTATGAGATACATACTCGTATCACCTTGTCCTGTTTTTTCCTTCAAATCCATGTGTGTTTTGGATGTATATTTGAGGATCACAGACTAAACACTACTATGTGTTCTGCCGCCTTCTTGCAAAATGGGGTTCCCAGGAGTGTAATAGATTTAAGAGTAGTTTTCCTCTCAACTTATTTTGCTAGATATTAAATGAGGATGAGTTAAATTGCCAGTAAGCGTGAAATTATCGATCTTATGCCCAGCTAACGGGGTTAGTTGGCTTCACACAGAGAAAAATGCTGTTTCATAACCACAGTCTGTACTGTGGCCAGCTAGTCACTGGGGAACTACAAGACATTTTTTTAGGAGGACAGAATGAGAGTTGATGGGTCTGTCGTTAGTCACCCTCTAATTTTGGATCACTAGTGTCATCTTTATATACAAAATGTATTATAAGCACACGATGTGTTAGGGACAGAAGGGGAAGAAAAAGTGAACAACAGGTGCCATTGTCCATTTTGAAGTCATATGAAGAGAAAAAAGGTGTCAAGAATTTCAGTGCATTGTGGTTGAATCACAGAAGTAATCTAGAGAAATATCTGTAAGTTTCTTACTTGTGCACTTATAAATTCGTTTAGCTGGAAGAGATTTTAGAAGTGATTTCCCAGAGACCATATAACTAGTTAGTGCCCAAGCTAAAACTAGAACCCACTTACGACTCCTAGTCCAGTATATTTTCCCACCTACTGCACTGCCTACCCTGTGAAGTACTGTAAAACTTTGTCTGAAACCACCTTTAAGTGGTATTAAAATTTGCAAAGTGGGCCAGGCGTGGTGGCTCACGCCTGTAATCCCAGCACTTTGGGAGGCCAAGGCAGGCGAATCACCTGAGGTTGGGAGTTCGAGACCAACCTGACCAAGATGGAGAAACCCCGTCTCTACTAAAAATACAAAATTAGCCTGATGTGGTGGGGCGTGCCTGTAATCCCAGCTACTCTGGAGGCTAAGGCAGGAGAATCACTTGAACGCAGGAGGTAGAGGTTGCAGTGAGCCAAGATCATGCCACTGCACTCCAGCCTGGGCAGCAAGAGCAAAATTCCATCTCAAAAAAAAATTTGCAAAGTGATTATTAATTCTAAGTTCATGTGTTTATTACAAACTTACCTATTGGTCTTGCTGGCTTTAAGACTTAAATTTTTAGATTGGACTATTTGGAAAAAATAAAATGTTTAATTGATTAACATTTTATAATATTTAAAAAGCAGCTTTGGCTTAATTTTGTCAAATGGGGGGATCTAGACTCCTTAAAGTAATATGTGATAATATAGTTCTGAGATCCAATTAATGTAAAGGAAGACCACGTTTAATGTCCCTCTAAAACTTCTGTTTGTTCATGGAATAGAATGTGATGTAATATTTTATTTAATCACCTGAATACATGTTGGATAGTGTGCCGAAATGGTCAAATGTTGTCTGGGTAGTTTGTGGAGAATTTAGACATAACTTATTTTTAGAATTGTTTGAGTTGAGAAAAGAATATTTACTCCCAAATGATTTGAAAATGTAAGATATTTCTATGTATCCATATTACTTTTCTTGGAATATTGTCATCTTTCCTTCTTTTTCTAATTTTTTTTTTCCAAGACAGAGTCTGACTCTGTCACCCAGACTAGAGTGCAGTGGCACAATCTTGGCTCACCGCAACCTCTGCCTCCCAGGCTCAAGTGATTCCCCTGCCTCAGCCTCCCGAGTAGCTGGGATTACAGGCGCCCACCACAGCACCAGGCTAATGTTTTTTGTATTTTTATTAGAGATGGGGTTTTGCCATGTTGGCTGGGCTGGTTTCGAACTCCTGACCTTCGGTGATCTACCTGCCTCGGCCTCCCAAAATCAGGGCTTGAAGAGTAAGCCAGATATGGGAACAGATTGGAGAGAAATTATTCTGAATAAGTAGTTGAAGTTGATCTACATTTGACTACAAAGTCATGAAGAATGTACCTTCATCTTTTGTTTTATAGAGCCAAGGAATATAGGCAATTGAATGTGTATAACAGTACTTTACATGTAGTAATTAAGTAAATATTAAAATTAATTACTACTGCTTCTGAGTAGTACAGTCAACATGGTAGACCATTGGCCCTTAAAAGAAATTTGACTTTGCCTATTTTGATTAGGAACAAGTTAAAGGATACCTATCTGATATAATCAATTATAAATAGAAATTTACGGTAAGAACTTCTCAAATCACCAAGGATTGGAACTATACAGATAGAAAATAGAAACCAAGAAACAATTACTTCTAGATGAAAGGAGGTTTTTTTGGAGTGACGAATTTGCAGAACAAAACTGTAAAGGTCTGGTTGGCAGCATGTTGAGTATTGAGGTGGTGAACTAGATTTAAACTTCATTCTCATTATTCTGTTTGTTGAGGATTATGAAGACTATTTATTAAATGTTAAGCACTAGCTTTATGCATGACACTGTGATAGTTGCCAGCTTTTTGTTGCTGTTGTCAGGGGATAGGCATAAATTAACAAAGAAGTTTAGAATCTAGTTGATGAAACAAGGACTAAGATATAAAAACGTGACTGCAGATCTAGAACACAGGATATACTATGTACCAAATCATTATACAGAAACCCTTCGAATTAAAAAGAAATTGAACTGTGCTGCATAAACATCCATTGCTTTCTTCATTTCTTACAAATATTGTTTTTATCCAGATGTATAGCCATGGAATTGAATTGGCTTGCCAAAAGCAGAAAGAGTTTGTGAAGAGCTCTGTAGCATGCAAGTGGAATCTCGCTGAAGCTCAGCAGAAACTTGGTAGCTTAGCACTGCATAATTCCGAGTCCTTGGATCAGGAGCATGCCAAAGCACAAACAGCAGTATCAGAACTGAGGCAACGGGAAGAAGAGTGGCGACAGAAAGAAGAGGCTTTGGTACAAAGAGAGAAGATGTGTCTGTGGAGCATGGATGCCATTAGCAAGGATGTTTTTAATAAGGTATGACCTTTTATTGAGCCATAATGAAAGAAGAAAAACTTACATGTTTGTGCAAACCAGTTGTGCATATTTGGTAGCAAAGCAGCAGAATCCGGTAAACAGTGTCCAATTTTGAGTTAATGAAAGGTACTTGAAAAGTTTATGAAAGTCAAAAAGTCTCAAAGCTCTTGCTCTAGAACTGCAGACTCCAGGCAGTTAATTGACCAGTCTCAAATACATGTTTATATAAATGTACTGCCCAACAAATATTACATATATTAAATAACATTCAGAAAAATTTGATATTTATAGAGATAAGAAAATATATCAGTAATGAAATATTTTCTTCCACATCTCATATTTTGTACCCGCTACATTGATTATCACTACTTTAGAGTTCCTTTAATTCAACCACCTTATTTTTATAAATGAAGAAACTGGAAAAATGAGTAGAGTTACTTGATAACTTCGTGGTGGGTTAAATGTGAAAAATTCCTGACTGTGGGATTGAGAGAGAAGATAAAGAGAAGTGTTGAATATCCTTTATTAAGTGCCTTTAAGAATGAAGGCTTACACTTTTAAAATCACGTGTTCTCCAGACTTCAGGGTTTTATACCTCAGTATTCCATTTGAAAACTAAAGTTTCTAGAGATTGATTTTCAAATGCTTAAAAAGGGGGACAAGGCAAAGCTTAATAACTACATGAACAAATGTTTTAAATGTGAAATAAAATGATATGTATTGAAAAATAGGCCAGGCTCAGCTGTCCACACCCGTAATTCCAGCTTTTTGGGAGGCCAAGGCAGGCAGATCACTTGAGTCCAGGAGTTCGAACCAGTTTGGGTGACGTGATGGAACCCTGTCTCGACAAAAAATAGAAAAATTAGCTGAGCATGGTGGCGTGTACCTATAGTCCCCGCTACTTAGGAGGCTAAGGCAGGAGGATTACTTGAAGCCAGG